TATTAAGTTATTATTTTATTAATACTAATACTTAACACTTTGTCCTATGTAAAACCTACAGCAAATGTGAAAAGAAAAAACTGCTGAAAATTGAAGTGCTTTTTTATTTGAAAATTTATCCAAGTCTTTAGTAGTTAACTGTAACTTTCCAGATAACTTTGAAATATTGTATTATAAAATTATATAMAATTTGTTTTAATTGATTTTTGTTCATGAGATTTTATTTAGATGAATGAATGTTCGAAATGAAACAAACAATTAAATACATCATACAAAGTACAATTAAATTATATCAACTAGGCATTTAATACATTTTTGTTCCGTACTAATTATTTAATGCATTATATATATTTTTAAACTAAATAAATTAAATTAAAATGCATAATTGATTAAAAATCAGTGCATATATGCATGCATATTTTGTACATTTTTAGTGCATATAATTCTGGGCCCTAATTATGATACAAATTATTTTGTTTGTTGTTTCAAATTTCTGAGCCCAACTTATCAGTTAATAAACTACAGTTATATTTTAAGAGATATTACTTAGCACTAAAATTTAAAATTGATATTAATCACATAAGTAGATACTCTAAAATGTATTCAGAAGTAAATACATAAAGTATTTATTGAAACGAYGATTTTGACCAAAATTTCAACCCAAAATCACTCAAGCCTAAAAAAATGTTTTTTTTTTTTCAAAAATCTATACAGAAACACTCATTAATTTATCAAATACTAGTAGGTTTATACAGGAACAACTCTAGACAAAATCAAAATTTGCCGCCCTTTCGTTTTTGTAGTCTAAGCATCAACATATTACCCTAAATACAGCCCTGCCTATCACCGAAGAAATGCTGTCTTTTACATAATGCCACCGCAGGCATAGGCTTGCATTTCTTATGCCTTCCCGGGCTTGTGTACATAATATATTATTTGTATTCAATTTATTTCCTTAAGGGTAGGTTGAGTAATGAGGGCAGTAGACAGTGGCGTATTTTGGGGGGGTGTYCTCCATGTCTTGACACCCCCCGTCATTTAAAAAAAAATCCTAATATATTGGACATTAGTGTTGTCCCCGGTGCCCCCGAGAAATCACCCAAAATACACCACTGGCAGTAGAATTATGTTCTTTTTGTTATTACATTTTTTTTTATATATACCTATCATTATAAAATAATTTAATTATGTGTTATATTTATAAATCTAAAAATCTTTAACATACTTAAGAAATTAAATAAAAACCAAATCTTAAATTATCAATCTATAGGTTTAAATTTTTGATTTGTTATAATTTATAAACCATAATTTTGTTTAGTTAAATTATTTTTTACTTTTCTGTAACATTTATACTTTATATTTACTTATATACCTATGAGAGTACTACACATCCGTATATTTTATCAATCTGACATACACGTTACACGTAACATAGGTTAACTTTGAGGTTAGCTTATTGGAAAAAAAATGATTTCGCAATAAGTGATAACTGTAGAAAACTAAATGTTTACAGAAATACCTAAAAGATGATTGTATGTGTTCTTAGAATTATGATAACTCAATTAGAAAACATTGTTTTTATAAATATTAATAAATAAATTATGATAAATACCTATTTGTGTTGAATTATATGTATTTATTGTATAATTTTATGTATATTATATCTTAGATTATTAAAATTCTCCTACTCTTTCATAAATTATTTTT